AATTATAAATTTGAATTGGCGAGGGAAAATGATGACTTTGTATAACTATACTTTAGTATTATAAAATAATGTTTTTTTATTTTATGAAACAAATGTTAAAGAACATATTTATGTATCTATTTTAATAGCGGAAGAACTTTTTTTCGCATGTATTTTAAAATATAAATTGATTATTGAATTTTAAAGCAAAAAGTTTATTATAATATTGTGTACTCGAAAACTTTTTTATTCAAAATAGTGCATTTAGCGTTTGTTTTCTTTTTTGCTTTGAGAATAAGGGGCGTCGGGAAAGATGGGTGTAATCCTGATTCAGCTACGAAAGTCAATAAAATCACATTATTTAGATCATGGTCTTCAACCCAAAACCAGATAGTAGAGTAAAACGAATTTTCGTTAAAGAGGTTAGCAGGGAATATTTTTTTTATACAAGTGTAAGTTCATGTATTATTATTATATTACAGTTCATCCGACTCCTTTATCCCAGAGAAAAAAAAAGGAAGGTCAAATAAAACATCCGTGTTATTAATTATAATTAACATTGCAATTAGATCAAACAAAGTGAACATAAATTTGAGGTCCGTATATGAACAAAAAATACAGTATATATATATATTATAACAATAAATATAAATACATAAAATTTACATCTAATATAACTAATTAAAAAGAACAAAACCAAATTAAATTATTATTAAATATGATTATTTTTTGAGACAAGTCAATAAGAAAACTGTATCAAAATATTTTGCATGGTTGATCAAGTTAATATTTGGAAGTTTCTGAGAATTTGCGCAAGTTGTATCCTCGGGATCTTGACACTTGACAATTTTGTTATTATCACTACATAAATAAATATAAGATAATTAATAAAAATATATAAAAATATCAAACAAATATATTTCTAACCACAGTCACTCCATTATACTTACGGTCTAATCCAAAATTGCGCACTATGATGTTGGTATTTAAATTCTTGAGGTGGCACGTGTGGAACTAGGTCAGCTTTATTTACAACTCTGAAAAAACTAAAGCCGGTTTTTTCAACCAAAGCAGCGAAATTTTTATCTCCTGTTCTTGGTTCACCATATGTATAAGTTAACAAGTTTGATGGATTTAAACCTGGTACTCCAATTAAATCAAGGGTTTGGAAAATTGCTAATGCTATTATTTAATAAATGGATTGATGGATGTGAATTAATGGATTGATTGATATATAAAAGTAAATTGTACTTTAAAATATTGATAATAGTAATAATATGAATAATAATATAATGTTGCTACTCACATCCACCTAAGCTATGGCCAGTGCTAACAACTTTGTAATCGGGATTTTCAGCTACCAATTTTTTTACTAAATTTGTTATTTCTGTTCTTGTGTCGTTATATGTAGCAAGAAATCTAATAATATAATTATAATTTAATGGATTGGAAAATAAAATTTATTTTTTCAAAAAATACAATTATTTATAAATTCCATTACTAACCCAGAATGAACCTATTATTTTATCAGTCGAAATTTATTTAAATTATAAAAAAAAAATTAAAATTTTTAATTAATATTATTAATATTATTTATTAACTCAAAATGTTTGATAACTAACGATTAATAAATAATCCTTCTTTTTACCTTTGCATTGTTAGATTTGTCAAAGAATGGAACTTGAACAAACTCGAGATCATTAAGGAAGCTTTTTACATTTGCTGTACCTCTAAAAGCAACTACGATTGCCTTTTCTTTATCGTTAATCGCAACTAAATTGTTTGTAATGTAAATTATTAATTAATCGGATAATAATTGAATAATACTTGTGGGCGAACTAATCAAATTTGGTATAGTTATCGATAGGTTACTTCATGCGGAAAAACCATGATATCACGTGTTTGTTAGACTGATTTTCGACAAATCAAATTTGAGTTTCGCCCACAAGTATAAATTCAGATCATTATAATAATTACCATAAGCGTTATTATCTCTTGGCACACTGTTTTGAAAGAACTTGATGAGCCTGGTACCTTTAGTTTCCTCAGTTTCGCAAGCTGCACCGCATTTCCAGTCAGTTACATCACAGTATGCGGCACTAAACAAATGAATAAAGCAAATAATAAATATAAGTAAAGAAGAAGTTCTTTATGTATTTATTATTACATCAGAAATATTTTATTAATTACTTTGCGAATTTTGTCCAAAGTCGGAATTCAGCGACATCATTATCGCTTACGGGTAATTGAGATGACGTGTCATTGTTGGCGGTTGGTTTGAATTTGTTATTGTTGTTTTTATTGGTTTTGTTATTTCCACGTTTATAATGATGAATTGGGGAAGCGTGTGTATAATAGAATGATGACACGTTAATAAAAATGAGAGCGATTAAAATAAAAAATGTAAATGTAGTCATTTTTTATTGACAATTGGTTTTAAAGAGGAGAAAGTAGGTAAATAGGCTAGTTGGAGAGTGTGGAAAGAGAGAAAATGATAGATTGAAAGTGAGAAATAAAGAATGTAGGCAATTATATATAATATAATATATAATATGGCAAGAGGAGTGAGTGGATGGTGTGTATGGTGATTTATGATGGTGACGATAACTATATGTTAAATTAATGTATATGGGATAATAAACCACAAAAATAATGTTGAATAAGAAGCCGACCAGCGCCTTTAATATTTGTCAAATAAATTGTGGATTGTGTATAGATACCGTACACCACCAAAGGAGATAAAAATAAGGAAAGGAAGGAAAGAAAAAGAATGAATAATTATTTAATAATAACTTTTGGTTAATTATTTTTATTTTATTAAATTTGTTAGTAAATAGTGAAAGAATTTGGATGCCATTTTATAAGAAATATTTTTTTTGATGTCCATTGTTTTTTTGAATTCTATTTAGGAAAACAATCGAAAAAAAAAAATTACCGAAAAAGTAAATTAATTAATTTAAAAAAAAAATTTTTATTAAATTTTGCTTGTTTACTTTTTTTTTACTGCTACGATCAGCGAAAAACCGATGTACGTACAGCAACCCCTACAAGGAATTTGTTTATTAGCTAATTTTATAGTTTTTTAATAACGAGTGGTAGAAGTAACAATGTAAATCCTTACTAAAGTAATCAAAATTTCATGAGGAATTTTCGACACAAAACAAATTCAAGTTTCAGGATTAAATTTATATTAAAAGAACTATGTGAAATGGCATTGGTTTACTTTAAATGCTACTAGTAAATCATTATGTTCAGGTCAATTGGACACTCTTTAAAAAGACTAGTCCAACACCTTGTAATTTATAATTCGCATTCCCTTTTTGCCAGATAAGGTCTTAAAAAGTAGGTGCAATTTCATTTCAGTTTTGCCTTCATTTTCTTCATTAAAACAAGAATTGGTTTCAAATTTTTCTTCTTTCTCTTCTAAAAAATATTTACTCAGGAAAACTTTTTTAAACCAAATTTTACCCTATTAATAATTCGGAAAAATCGTTACTTTTCATATGATAATTATATCAATTTGAAACCCTAATCTCAAATGGGCTCTTGTTATTCCTTGTAGTATTATTAGAGAATCAGCAATGATTGACCTTTCGAACAATTATAAATCAAATATTGCAGCAAAAAAGAAAACTATTTAAGTTAAGGGTTGAATTCAAAAAAAAGGTCAAATTGAAATTGTAAAGTGAATAAGCGCAAAAGATATAGGCTCAATCGACGCATGTTCCGGATCTACGAGAAAATTTATAATCTTGTGTGAATGAATGTTATCAAAACTTTTATAAAAACCATAATTTGGGTTTTTACTTCTCGACAAATGTTGATTTGGCCACATTATCGATTTAAAAGTCTTTTTTCCAATAAATCAATCTCGCGAGAATCCTTGGTGAAAGGTAGTCAGTCACCTGCACTGAGAATATACTAGTAAAACATGTGAAAGTAGTGGATGTATCTAGCAAAAATATTGGACCCTTATATGTACATCATGCAGTTCTGCCATTGATAGGGATGTAATGGAACCAATAAATACATATTACGGAAACACGTTCGCGACGTTGGGGCCCACACTTATTACAGGCTGGCTGTTTACGTATGACTTTACTTACTTGGGTATAGGTAAGATTTTTAATTTAATTGCGTAATAAAAATTTGTGACACAAAACTAATTATTTAAAATCACTTTTTTGATTTTCAAAATACATGTTTGTAGACCAAAAATAGAAATTTAATTGATCTAGAAAATTAATATTTTAAGTAAATAAATATATTATTATATAGATGAAAAAAGAAAAAAAAAATCAAATCTATGTTTTGTTGTTAATGCTGATGATTTGTTTATATGTTTTTACAATTATTTAATGAATAATAACATTTTTTTTAACATTGTTGTTAAGTATTAATTATTTTGTTATATATTGATTGGTTATTGAATGATTGCTAATATACAAAAGTAAAAATTAAAATTAAATCAAAACAATTGGATTAAATTAAAATTAAAAATATATTAATATATTTCTAATTTGAGCTGTTAAAATGAACATTATTAGTAGGAATAAGTGTAAATCAAGTTAAGGATAATAATAATATAAATTTAATTAATTAATAATAATTAATAATAATTTTCAATTATTCAGTTCTTTCTTCATTTTTTATAGAGAATAAAAAAAAAGGATACATATAAAAATGCATTTTTACACGGATCTCTAAAGTTTAAACCCAATCGATTATAATAATTTATATTCTCATCGTCTAAAAATAGACAGACCTCCTCGATCATCTTATAAATAATCAGAAAATAGTGATTAGATGATGATAATTATATTTAATTGGACGCATTTCTATACATACGCATATATTTATTTACCTTGTCATAATGTGATCTCAAACAAAATGTTGAGGTGTATATTGTTAAGCATTCAAGAATATTGCCAATTACAGCATATTTTGGATTATTCGCTTTCTCTAATAATTCATTCAACCTGTTAATTGTTTCTTTAAATCTTATTGGACTTATCTAGTAACACGAAAATATATAGCATAAGTATATTAATATATATATTACATACATGTATAAATATTATGCATGAATAATTTTACCCTTTCGTTGATTTCTTTAGGAAGATTATTATTGAATTGACATGATTCTCCATTGGTATAGTCCCTTTCGATCTTTATAATTTTTTTTGGCTTTATTATTAATGTAGATGTTGTTGATGATATTGATGATGATATTGATGCTGGTTTTTTATTATTACTATTGTAAATATTGTCATTGATAATATTACCATTATTATTATTATTATTATTATTATTATTATTATTATTATTTATAATCAAGGTATTATTATTTGGTTCGGTCGTCATCTTGTTATTCGTGTTTGTAAATGTTGACTTTTTTGGTGAATTTAATTTCTTTGTTAATTTCCTGGTCACTAAATTACCACCACTTTCCTCGCCATTCCTACCTTTACTACTACTACTAATTTCTGACGTGATGATTGTTGTTGTAGTCAAATTATCATCTGTTATTGGTATTGATGATATTGTTGTTTCTTGTTGTTTTTGAATTATTATAATGTTATTATTATTATTACTTTTAATACTGTTGCTACTAATATTAACGCTACTACTATTATTACTATTATTGATACTAATATCATTGTTATTATCATTAATGTTGTCATGATTGTTAGCACTTATAATATCTTTGTCCTCTGTAATTAAAACTTCAAAATTCTTCCTTATCATTTGGGATGAAGTGGTAGAAGAAATACTACTATTATTACTTTGCCTTTTTCCTATTTTACTATTTCTACTTCTCCTTCTTGCCTCTACACTGCCTTCTTCTCTTCTCTCTAGTGACGCTACTTCCACATTTTCTTCTTCTTCATCTTCTTCATCTAGTTGTAATTGACTATTATCATCATCAACAATTTCGATGGTTTTTTCTTCTTCTGATTGAATGTTTTTCATATTTTTTAAATTTTAAAAATTAAATTAAAAAAGGATGAAAAAAAAAAAATTAACCTATTAATTAATCAATTACCAACAACAATAATATTTAATAATAATAATAATAAATAATAATGTACATACAAATTACACATGCATATATTAAAAATATCGAGAAAATAATTTATAAATTTGTGTGAAGTAAAAAATTTAAGAAAATTATTCTTTTGTGTGACAAATAAACAAAGTTAACCAATCCAATACTAATACATAAAAGGATATAATTTCAATTCAAGTTAAAAGAGGTATTCATACTATTACAATTGCAGCAAGCATGAGAAAAGGAAACAATATTAAATTTATAATTGGCTAATTCAAATTAAAGTTGTATAGAAAATTTTTAATTAAACATGACAAATTTTTTTTTACAACTATGACTTTTTATGAATTGCTAATACTAATGAAGAAGCTCTTATTAAATTTACATTATCATTGATTTAATTTTAATATTGGAACTGATCATCATATTAAATATCAAGTAACACATGCTCAAATTCCTAAGCCGTGCGTTACTATTAATTAATATGTGTGCGTGTATTGTATATTTTTGAAAAAAAGGACAACTGATAAGGCTTTTAAATTTAATATCTTTTGTGGCTTCAAAAATATATTTTTTTAGTTTTCAATAACTTAAATCTATGAAAAAAGTCATCAACAATCTACCAAGTCTTTATTTAGAATAAAAATACTTCAGTGTGTTATCGTATATTATTAGGGTCATAATGAATTGTAAAGGTTAAATGCCACAATGGTTTATTTATGATTTTGAATTTGGCTTTCTAATATTTGAGATTGAGCCTCTGTGCAGATTTTGAATAATGCTTACTTTGTTAGTTTCTAAATAGATTTTTCATGTCCAAGATTATTTTCTGTAATTTAAATATTTTTCTCGGCTATAATTAGCTCATTTCTTCATTTCTTTCCTTCATTTGCTTAATAAAGCTCTCGTAGCCTTCTTGTTTTTTTTTTGCTTTCGTCTTTTCTTGTTGATTTCATTTTGAATCTCCTTTGAATTCTTCTCATAAAGTATTATTTCACTATTCCTTTTTTTTTCCTATTAATTATTTATTTGTCTTTGGATTTAACCAAGCCTTTAAAAGACTCTCTTATCGATACGAGCATTCTTTTTGAGGCACTGCTAGTATTTATCGATCCACCATCCATTAATTTGAGTTGAGCATTAAAAATATGCCTGGTTCTTATTTGGAAAGAAGCTTGGAAGATCTCGCGCAATTATGCAAACACTCTTTTTGTAAGCATTTTTTGATGAACAACCTAATTTTAAAGAATGGAGTACTTTTTAATATTTAGTATAAATTTATGTTCGCCTCGTAGTTTTTCTTTACGATGGACAGATTAATGGGATCTGGATATATTACTTTCTTTTAGACGATCCCCATAAGCACAAAAACCCCCATCCCTAGCACACACATTTATAAATTGCAAACAATTAACTCGACATAATTAAATAAACTTGATAACCTGGTTTTTTGTAAAGCTAATTCACGTCTTTTTTTGTTAACCATAAGTTGCATCAATTCACTAGTATTTTTGTTTTTCTGCTGGTAATGTTTTCCTCTAATTCCAAAAAGTATTAGACGCCTTAAATGCGCTAACTACAAATATATATATATATACACATATATATATATCAGTTTATAGCTTAGGTTCTGAAGATTATGTATAAAAACTTTATGGTTTCGGGTTTTCTAAAACTTTTTCAATTAACATTTTATTTTACTTGCTGAAATATATTTTTTTTTGAAATAATTAAAAATTTTTAATAATTGTTCTATGATAAAAAGTACTGAACAATGTAATATAATATTAATATCATGCATGCAGCCTAAATTATGTCAAAAGCCAAGCCTAAAACATATAAACATACGTGAAACATTGAATCACATGTGAATAACTATACTAATACTATTTTGGAATGATTATCGTCATAATCATATTTTTGTTTTATTGTGATTGTTGTTTCGAAAATTTAAGTATTACGAACCGTTAATAAAGGCTGTAGATGATCCCTTCATAGAAACCCATAAACATGCCTCTATATATTATAGGGTACGTTTGATCTAAATCATCGGTTTCGATTATTCGTTTCGAGTAAATGATTTTCGCATCCTGAATATTCTCCATCCATTATGAAGTGAATTGATATATATATATATATATATATATATATAATATAATATTGTTTTGGATTTTTTCGCTATTTTTCTCTACTGTAAATACTTCTGTCTACGATACATTTCCACTATTTATTTCCTTGAGATGCTTTGGCATGTCCACATATCTTATCGTTCCTTGTACCAAATCTGCTTGAATCTTACTAGGGATGTCCACCGAAACCCCCCCTTTTAGGTGGTACCGAAACCGAAAGTGTACCGAAAGTACTTTCGAACACT